AGTAATTGTATACAAAGTCCTTATGTGGCACAGAAATCAGCGGAGGAGGGATACACCCACGAGATTGCCTTTATATCATCTTACTGGTGTTTTGAGCTGGCTACATTGGCAAACCTTCCATGGAATAATGTCACACTGGAACTGCAATAGGCAGTCACAAAATAAACAATACAGTTTTCTCCAGCACTGCAGTGAAACATTATAGGATTAGGTTATAAAGACATCTAATTTAGAGAAGTCACGGGGCTACACACAGACCACTGTGGAAAAGACAGCTTCCAGAGAGACGTAAAAGTAGCAGCGAGATTGTTGCTTGAGGTAAATAGTTAACCCCCAGGAACAGGGTAGTTGAAGTTTATAGACTGAATGACTTCCTTTATGAGTATGCATAAGTATATCCAGACAGCTGCACTAAAAGGATGGGCAAAACATGAAAATAAAAATAATGGCTTTGATAAAACAATGGGATGTGCAGATTCACTGCAGCCTTTTCCCCTAATGCTCAGCAAAGGGGTTTAAAGAGGCATGATGCAAAAAACACAAACAAAAAACACACACCAAGCCTCCATACTGTGCAATCAGAAATGAACAATGTCTTGAGCATGCTGTCTTATCTCTGACTGACATGGAGCTTTGTGGGACCAGGGAAGAGATCATAATTGGAAAGCAAACCCACTGTGAACAATGCCTGGCAAGAACTTATGCAAAGGTTTATGAGAGACCAGGGTTGTGGTGACAGTGCTGACTGTGGTGGTGGAGCTTTTCATATGACACATCAAACAAGACTTAGGCATATTTAGGTTTGCCTTTTTTGTTTTTGCTTTTACAAACTCCTTTTAAATGCAAACAGCTTCATCCCAGGCAATGGTTTGTTAGAGGCTAACCATATTGCCATCAATTCCTCATCATCCTTTTCACAACAGTGCGTGCATAAAATATTCAATAATCACAACCATAGTACAGACCAGGGCTTTTGTAGCAAAAGACAAAATGGCACCCCACCTACCGTTACATTTACAGCAGCTAAATCTCATGTCATGACTGGGGCCGGGAGAACATTTTCAACTCCACTGGGGGGGGGGAGGGAAATGTAAAACAGGTTGTCAGGCACACACAGCTCTGTCCTCCACCAGATAGGAACAGCCAAGGGGTTGTTGTTGTTGCTGCTGCTCTAACTCTTCTACATCAACCAGCAATGATTGCATGTCTCAACTGCCTCCCTCCACCTAATGATATGGTCTCACATGCTACAGATAATGGCTCATATCTACAGACTTTTCTCTTTGGCTGTTTCTGCCTGCTGTGCCCAGAAAAGGAAATAAACAGAGATAAAAACCACAGGAAATGGATCAGAAAAAGTATTTGCATTGTTTTCCATGTGGCAGTAGCTCCCAAACCTTACTCTTCCAGATGTTTTGGACTTCAGCTCCCAGAAGACCTAGCTTGTTTGACCAACAGTCAGGAATTTTGGGAGCTGAAGTTCAAAACCTCTGGAGGACCAAACTTTTGGAACCACTGCCATATGAATTCCCCCCCCCCCCACAGCTGCTCTGTTGGAAGGGCAGTTTGCCCCTTGCAATGGGCTGGGGGAAAGAATCAGTACAGGCTTTTATTTGAAAGTGTGGCTCTGGTATTCTATGATATCACATCTCCATTGATAAATGGCAGGTTTCTTTCATTTAAAAAGTATTCTTTCTATGGTGGAGTTTAACATTCATCTGAAAAGAAAAAAGTGGATTGTTGATACCTTGATCTTCTGTTCAAGAGCCTCCCCCAGCTATGCTTAGTCACGACTGCAACGCTGGCTAATATTGGCATAGACTCTTAAAGCAAGACATCTTCATCTAATCCACTTTAAGGCTGTGACTGAAATTCCAGAAAGAGCCTTAGAAGGTGATAAAAGCAGCTGGTGAGCTTATGCAGCCAGCTCGAATTAGTTGGCAATAAGCACAGATAAGGTTATAGTACATTTTATTCAAGAAAATACCCATTTGGTATAAAACCCTAGACATCAGAAAAGGAACAAAACACAAGTGTGTTTCAAATGTAATTTACGGAAGCAATACTGTCTTGCAGATTTATTTGTACTGCAGCAGATACAACCTCTTCACTAAATGAAGTACAGATTATCTGACCTCTTCAGCTATTGCCGATTCCACTGCCTAATGTCATCTGTGTTGCATCCACCTCACTCTCCTCCTATTGCTTTTATTACCACTTTTATTGAGAACCTTCATTTAGTCATTCTGTTACAAACTATTATGAAAAGCTTTCTTTGAATTAGGATTGTGGGGGAAGAACTTGGAAGCATGAAAATATAAGAAAAACAGATCTTGAAAGAGTCATACCTCACAGAGGGACCTACTTATAAATAAGCTGACAACCATTATACAGAGCCAATACCTATGGGAATGATCCAACTGACCAAACCATCAGGGAGAGTGTAGGTGCTGTAGTCCAAAAAAGAGTAACTTGAGGCACTGCCCTGGCTCAGTGCTAGGGAATCATGGGAACTGTAATTTATTGTGGCACCAGAGCTCTGACAGAGAAGGCTCAATGTCTCAGAAAAAAATACAATTCCCATGACTCCCTAGCACTGAGCCAGGGCAGTGCCACAATTTAATGTGCACTATTTCTGGCAGTCTGCAAAGACCCTTTGTCAATCTCTGTTCAGATTATGATGGGGCACTAGGAACAAAGAAGCTGCCTAAAATCAGGTCAACTTTTTTTTGTTCAAGTGTATACATTGTATACTCAAGACTGATGGCTGCTTTCCAGAGTCACAGACAGATGTCATTCCCATCACTCATTACCCAATCCTTTCTTAACTGCAGTTGTCAGGGATGAAATTTTTTGCATTGAAAAGCATATGGTTTACCACTGAGCTACAGTCCATCACCATACTCAACATACGACTTGCTGAATTAACTATGCTGAATATGACTTCACCTGACACAAACAAAATATCTCATGATGACATTGCTTAGTAGAGGGCTTAGCTATTCCAAAAATGGTCACTCCTCTACCCATTTAGAAAGCACTTCTTGAGTGTGTCATCATGATTCCAGTTTCCAGAATAGCGTTGACTGATGACTGAGTCTTTAAATAAATATAATATTCCTTACCTTAGGTTGTTGGGCAGAATGCACAGGAAGTTAATGAGTGTGTCTGTAGGAAGATACTAGCTCCAATCACTGCTTTGTCTCACCCATATGGTACATTTCTCAATGTACATTTTAGAAAGGTAATATATAAAGGAACCTTTGGATCCTGTCTCTGAGCAACATGTTGGCTTTTTTTCATGGTAAATGAGGTTAAAATAAGACTTGGAAGTAACTTGTTACAACGACTGACTGACTTAGAATTTATTCCTTTTTCTAATAACAAAAGTACATAATATAATGAATATAAAATAATCAGAGATTAGTTTTTTTGCTGTGTGACTGGAAATCGTAAAGTGATTTTCATGGTTGTGGGCCTCACTAGGTGGAAGAGGATCATATGGTTTAAATACTAGTTGATGCTATGTTTCATATTTCTGCCTTGTCCATGTTGTGAGTATTGAGGCAATTATGTGGTGGATGGATGAAAAAATGTTTTGCATCACAAGACATTCACTTCCAGTATTCAGCTTTTTAAAAATTAACACAAACAATAGTATTAGTTACTTTCAGAAAACAGGAACATAAAGAGTTGTTTTTTAAAACTGTAATTATCATAGCAATTCACTTCTTTGTTGGGAGACTTCAGATTGTGTTGTCGTGTACCTTCATTTCCAACTTTTAGTGACCCTAAAGCAAATCTATCACAGGCTCTTCTTGACAAGATTTGTTCAGAGGAGGGTTGGGTTTGCTTTTGAAGCTGAGAGAATGTGACTCACCCAAGGTCACCCAAGTGGGGATTCAGACCCTGGTCTCCAGAGTCATAGTCCGACACTCTAACCACTACACTACACTGGTTCTCCTTGGATTATAACTAATTCAAGATCTGGAATTGGATTTCCTCTGCAGAATGCCCCCAAAACACTACTGAAATCTTCTTCATCTCTTGAAGGAAAGAAATATCTCCAACTTTGCATAATGCAATACGCTGAACACAAGGGACTTGTTTTCCATTTAATAGCAGTCCTTCTCAAATGCTGTGCTGGGTTCTAATATCACTATTTGCTCAGTGCTGAAAATCCCTAGCATTCACTTGCCAGCAATGTTCAGTTTTCAGCCTCAGGCTTTGATAAAAGGAAATATCTATATTTCTATATTTGTCTGCTAATTACAGCTTTCCTCATCATTTCTATGCACTAAAATGTACTCAAAGCTCTTTCCATGTTCTTTATACAGAACAAAATGAAATGTGAAAAAGTGCAAGTAATGACCAAAGTTATTCTTTATGTCTTTAACAGCCCAGTCTTTTGGCACCTAAAAGCAAGGTTTTCACAATTTATCTAATGCATTTTGATATGGAATTTATTATTGTACAGAAAACTACGGTAGGAATTAAGGAAATTACAGTATACGTATGCCTATATAGGGCTTCTTCCATTACAATTATCAGGCTGTAGACTAGAGTGGTGACATGAACATTTAGGCACAGCTGGAATCTCACAATGGTTTTGGAAACATCTGCCATACATAAAGAAAGTGCAGCAGCTCACCTCTGATGGAATACACTAATGAATAACTATGGTGGTACAACAAAATGAAGCTCATTCATGACTGGATGAACTTGCCAGATTGCTTTAAGATGCAGCAATTCATTGTTCCCATTAAATCCAGTCTGGTCATTGTCCTTTCCTTCCTCAGCATTTTCACTGTATCATTTTCATGAACACAGAAGGAGGGGAAAACAGACAGTAGACACCATCATTCAGTCAGGCAATTTCTGCACAGTTAGGCTCCTTAAATCTCCATAAAGTCAATATAACACTGCTAACTGCAGACAAGACAGCAGCCTTAATTGGGTTCAGGAAAAGACCTTTCAGGTCCCCCCTCTACAGTCGCCCCCCCCCCCCGTTCTCACGGACTTGAAGTCTGCAGTTTTGCATATTCACAGAGGGGTGACCTCCATTAAAATCAATGGGGTGCACTCCAATGGGGGCACACCTCCTTCAAGGCTATGGGGCTTGAATATTTGTGACTCTCCATTTTTTGGGGGGGGGGTCCAGAATGGATCCCCTTGAAAACGGAGGGCCGAATATATATGGTCTTTTATCAAAGTGATAATTTAGGTCTGTATGTTCTCATCAATAAGGTCTAAAGTAAAGGGGTAAAGGGGAAGCAGGCTCAGGTACATCAACCATTTAGAGGTGTTAAGCCTTGTTTGCTACAGAATGCCAAGATAGGGCATATCATGCATATCCTACTGAAACAGTGGCATAGTTTGAAAAAAAGAACATGAGATAATGGTGGTAGGTCTAGATCAGTGGTTCCCAAACTTTGGTCTTCCATATATTTTGGACTTCACTTCCAGAATCCCTGACTCGTGGCCAATCTGGCTGGGGTTTCTGAGAGCTGAAGTCCAAAACACCTAGAGGATGTCTGGGAACCATTGGTCTAGATCAATGATGGCAAATCTTTTCAGGGCCAAGTGCACCAACTAAAAGTTTTTCCAGTGTTACCCGGTGCCAGGGGCAGAACTTCCACCCTCCGGGGGATGGGACTTCTAGGGCAGGACCTCTCCCCCCATGCCTTTCCAGATGCCCTCGGAGAGACAGCTGGAAGCTGGTAAAGGTCTGGGAGGAGGAGGAACAGGGCCGTGCCTGTTCCTGCTTCTCCCCATGTGCCTTTCCCAGCCTCCAGCATGGCATGCCATGGCATGACATGCCATCTCTGGTGGTGTCTAGATGTTGCAATCAATGGTATTTTGTATACATAAATAAAAATACTATAATCCAGTACAAATCCAAAAAAAGCTGTTCCACCCAAGGAAGGCCAGATTTGCTAATGTTGAAGTCATGATGTAGATGTCCCTTACAAAAATAAAAACAGTCGGCCTTCCACATCTGTGGATTATTTATCCACAGGTTCAACCATCCATAGCTTGAAAATATCCCCAAAAGTTATAAATTTCCAAAAAACAAACCTTGATTTTGCTATTTTATTTAAGGGACACTTTTTTTTTTACTGTGCCATTTTATTTCATGGGATTTGAGCATCCACAGACTTTAATATCTGGTGTGTGTGTGTGTTCTGGAACGAAACCACACCAGATACCAAGGGCCCGTTGTACACTTAGGTTGCTTCCCCATGTTGCCTTTATCCAGCGACTGTACTTTTGTAGATAGCAAACACTGTGATATGACATTGTGCCATCAAGCCAGAAATTGCAAACCAGGCACTATTATCACTCCCATGTTGAGTAGTCCTACTTCATTATTACTATTTTCTATTTATTAATAATGATTATATCCACCCATCACAAAACTCAGGACAACATACATGGTATTCTCAGGTGCTCTCTCATCTAGACCCTGACCCAATTTAGTGTTACTTATTTTCAGAATGGTGGCTACATCATCTGTGTTCAGATCATGCTCTGAAACTAGTCTAATGCACTAGCCAAATTCACAGAAAGAAATGACAGCAATTGCTCAAAACTAGCCACTGTCACTCTGACACCCTTGCCCTTAATAAAAGTATTTCTCTTGTGATATATGTCATATTTAACATCTGAGTATTGGGCTTATCACTGGAAAAAACAGATGATCAGAACTGACAGTAATAGGCTATGTTCCAGGCAACTGGAGAAACATGTTGAGTAGGCCAGATTTCCAGCAACCCTGCACAAATCTCAAAGCATTATTTTGGTCAGGCCTGCAAGCTCTACCTTGGCATTTACATTTTCAGATCCCTTGATAATCCTGAGAATTTATCTTCAAGCAAGAATGAGCTACTCCTCTTAAAACACTATTAAGTATAGCATTTAATACTTAGAAGCAATTTCTCAGAAGCTTCATGCCTCTGGGCAGTGATTCTGTCTTCAAGTGACCTTTCCTTTTCTTTTTTCTTTTCTTTCTTGACTTGTAAGGAATGGACACTGACCAACAAATAATGTAAGGAAGAATTGTGTGTGTGTGATCATCTTAACACAGGAACAGCAAGAGAGGTGGTGATGGTGATCTTAATTCCCCCTCCCCACTTTGCTACTTGTACACAAATTAGACAGAAGGCTGCAGGTTGCCCATCTCCTTAATAATCAGTTCTAAGAATCAAGATCAACCCAAATGCTCTAATCATTGCAAATCTTTGGCAGAGCTTTGGAAGGTCAAGGGCTTCTGTACTACATATCCTCAAATTCCCCAAGTCCTGGCAACATGGGCCAAGCTGGCTGGGGACTTTGGGGAGCTGTCATTCAAAAAAGGAAGTTTTCCAAGTCGGGTCTTTGGAATCATCATGCCCCTATGCATGTGATGCTAATGCTTAATAATATTTGTTATCTCTATAGTTTTGAATGTTTTTACCTATTGAATGTTTTTACCTATAGTTTTGAATGTTTTTACCATCACATGGGGGTCCAATGAGCAGGGATATGATATATAAATGCTATACATACATATATACAGATTATGATGCATTTACGTACACAAGAACTCTCTAGG